CCTCATAGTGCAGATTTCTGATACATGGGATCATCTTTGTCATCCTCCTCTGTACGTTTTCCAGAGCATTTATATCCATTCTGTAATACGGTGACCAGAACTGAGCAGCATAGTCTAAATGAGGCCTAACCAAGGATATATAGAGTTGAAGAACAACCTGAGGACTTCTATTATTTATACTTCTAAATATGAAGCCAAGAATTCTGTTAGCTTTATTGCGAACACTAATGCACTGTTGTCTTGGTTTTAGGTTACTGCTAACCAGAACTCCTAAATCCTTTTCCCAATCAGTAGTATTAAGATCTACATTATTTAGTTTATATGTGGCATGGTTATTTAACTGTCCAACAATTAGAACTTTGCATTTGTCAATATTAAACTGCATCTGCCACTTCTCCGACCATTGCGTCAGTCTATTCAAATCATCCTGGAGTGCTCTAGTGTCCTCATTAGAATGAACTGGACGGCCTATTTTGGTGTCATCAGCAAATTTGCTTATGTCGCTATTTATTCCCTCATCTATGTCGTTTATGTAAATTGTGAACAACAACGGGCCCAACACTGACCCCTGAGGAACACCGCTTGTGACGTGCCCCCATTCTGATTTCTCCCCATTTATGTAAACTCTGCTGCCTATTTGTCAGCCATGCCTCTATCCAGGAAAAAATTTCTCCTCCTATTCCGTGTGACTTAAGTTTCCTCAATAGCCTCTGATGTGGAACTCTATCGAAAGCCTTACTGAAGTCCATATACACAATATCATATTCATTACCATGATCTACCTCCTCAAACACCTTAGTGAAAAAAGTTAGTAAATTCGTAAGTCAGGAACGCCCCTTTGTAAAACCGTCTTGAGATCCATTAATCAATCTGTGCCTGTGAAGATGGCTACGAATTGCCATAAATTTTCACATTATGGAGGTAAGGCTTATTGGTCTATAGTTCGAAGCCAAGGACCTGTCACCTGCCTTGTAAATAGGTATTATATTTGCCATTTTCCACTTATCAGGCACTATGCCAAAGGTATGCTAAGTTCCTCTTTACATTCCTTTAACACCCTTGCAAACAGTTCATCAGGACCTGGGGATTTGTTAGGTTTTAGTTTCTCTATTTGTCTGAGGACCATGTCACTAGTTACCGCAATCGTGCATAGTTTATTATCGTCCTGTTCTACATAATCTGTTATTTCAGGAATATCACTAGTATTTTCCTGGGTGATGGGATAGATAACAGCAGAGTGTAATTTTGATTCTTGTAAGCAAACACCAACAGGGGAAAACCGGGAGAGCAACATCTGAAGTTCACCCTGATTACCCCTGAGGCTGTGTATATTCCACTGTAAATAGGCCATGATTGGCAATGATGAAGATACCAGAAATCCGCAGGTAAGGGTACCTACGGACTAAAGGGGTTAGAAAAGTCCACATGCAGCGGTAGCAGAAAACGTTAAAGCAGCAAAGGAACGGTGCACTGCGAATAAAGGAGTTGCGCAGATGAAGGAGTGGAAAGAGAAGGAACAGAGGGTGGATCAGTGTCCATTGATGGTTTGGTCTCTGCAATATATTCAGAGGTTAGTTTCAAGTGTTTCGGAATTCAAAGACGTCGTATGGGAGACAATATCGGAGATGGAAGGAGGAGGGTGAATAAAGATTGGAACTGTAATGGACTGTACCAAAGTAGGGGGACTACGAGAGGGTGGAGGGAACTGGAGAAGAAGTGTGGCAGGAGACTGAAGAGGCGAAAACCTGGTAGGTGGCAGAAGAGGAAGAAACTTGGGAGGGAACAGAGGAGGAAGGCACAGCACGAGGAGGAGGGTGAACCTCCACACATGTAACAGAGCCAGTGAGAGGGAAAGAACCAGGTGCAGAGACCGGGAAAGTAGAATGAAAAGGTGGAAGAAGGGAAGGAGGGGTTAAAGGAGATTTGAGCAATTGAGATTTTATGGACTTCTGAGTAGAGGGATGATTGGGAGGAGGTGTCGTACGAGGTCTTGTCGATACCGGGGCTTGTGAGGGAGAACACGAAGAAGTGAGAACAGACTAAGGTGTTGAAATAGAGACTTCTGAGCCCAGGACAGCAAAAGAATTAGGAACAGGAGTGACTATGGGAGGGGTAACCACAGAGGAAGTTGCAGAAGATGGGACCGAAGAAGTGGGGGGATGCTTAGAAACACGAGAATAAGAAATATGAGGCAGTCTCCCTTCGAGGTGCAGTTGAGAAACTGCCATAGAATAAGGGAGACCTTCGGCTTCTTTGAGGCAACAGATTTCTCGCTCATTTAAGTAGACCTGGCAACGGCGAGAGTAAGAAGGGTGAGCCTCATGACAATTAAGGCAAGAGGGAGAACGACTACAAGACGTATTAGAATAGACATCGGCACCACAGACTGGGCATTTGGCTATAGATCTGCAATATTTTGCAGGGTGACCAAATCGCCAGCAGTTTCTACACTGTTGCGGTGTAAGGATCGCCTTTCGAACATGTAAATGATGTCCTGCTACATAGACAGAGGATGAGAGTTCACGGCTGTCGAAAGTTAATCGAGCAACATTGCAAAGGTAACGTCTCCGCCCACGGGCAGGAAGGACATAAGTGTCTACTTTCAGGATCGGGAGATGTTGTAGTTCCAGCTGTTCCAGAGTGTCAGGGCCACATGACTGGAAATTCTGTTGGATTATGGTATGGGGAAGAATAACAGTTGTGTTAGGCTAGGTTAGGTTAGGCTAGGTTACGTTAGGCTAGGTTACGTTAGGCTAGGTTAGGCTAGGTTGGGTTAGGTTAGGTTAGGCTAGGTTAGGTTAGGTTAGGCTAAGTTAGGTTAGGTTGGGTTAGGTTGGGTTAGGTTAGGCTAGGTTAGGTTAGGCTAGGTTAGGTTAGGTTAGGCTAGGTTGGGTTAGGTTAGGCTAGGTTAGGTTACGTTAGGTTAGGGTGGGTTGGGTTAGGTTAGGTTAGGCTAGGTTAGGTTAGGCTAGGTTGGGTTAGGTTGCGTTAGGTTAGGCTAGGTTAGGTTAGGCTAGGTTGGGTTAGGTTGGGTTAGGTTGGGTTAGGTTAGGCTAGGTTAGGTTAGGCTAGGTTAGGTTAGGCTAGGTTAGGCTAGGTTGGGTTAGGTTAGGTTAGGCTAGGTTAGGCTAGGTTAGGTTAGGTTGGGTTAGGTTAGGCTAGGTTAGGTTAGGCTAGGTTAGGTTAGGCTAGGTTATGTTGGGTTAGGTTAGGTTACGCTAGGTTAGGTTAGACTAGGTTGGGTTAGGTTAGGCTAGGTTGGGTTAGATGTTACCAGAAGTCCTTGAAGGTGACTCACCTCCCTCACTGACCTATTTACCCTCCCTCACCCCTCACTCACCCCTCACTCACCCACCCCTCACCTTCCCTGCCAACCAAAACATCCGGTCCAGACACAAAGGTGCCCTGAAATACCTGTATCGGGTTTCCAGAGTGATATTTATGCAAATTTATATACCTGATACATACATATATACATTAACAATGTAAATCAGTCACATATTTGGTAATAAACTAATATATATATATATATATAATATATATATATATATATATATATATATATATATATATATATATATATATATATATATATATATATATAATATATATATATATATATATATATATATATATATATATATATATATATATATATATATATATTATATATATACCCCTACAGGCGGGGCCAGGAGCTATGAATCGACCCCTTCAACCACAAATAGGTGAGAACACACACACACACACCTGTCACAAGACACACAATACATGAGGTGAACCCAACACCTGCTACAATACACATGAGAGGGACCCAGCACCTATCACAAGACACACAACACATGAGGGGGGACCCAACACCTGTCACAACACATGAGGGGGGATCCAACACCTGTCACAACACATAAGAGGGGACCCAACACCTGTCACAACACATGAGGGGGGATCCAACACCTGACACAACACATGAAGGGGGATCCAACACCTGTCACAACACATGAAGGGGGATCCAACACCTGTCACAACACATGAAGGGGGATCCAACACCTGTCACAACACATAAGAGGGGACCCAACACCTGTCACAACACATGAGAGGGGACCCAACACCTGTCACAACGCAGGAGAGTGGGGACCCAACACCTGTCACAACACATGAGAGGGGACCCAACATCTGTCAACACATGAGGGGGGACCCAACACCTGTCATAACACATGAGGGGGGACCCAACACCTGTCACAACACATAATAGGGGACCCAACACCTGTCACAACACATGAGGGGGGACCCAACACCTGTCACAACACATGAGAGGGGACCCAACACCTGTCACAACGCAGGAGAGTGGGGACCCAACACCTGTCACAACACATGAGAGGGGACCCAACATCTGTCAACACATGAGGGGGGACCCAACACCTGTCATAACACATGAGGGGGGACCCAACACCTGTCACAACACATAATAGGGGACCCAACACCTGTCACAACACATGAGGGGGGACCCAACACCTGTCACAACACAATAGGGGACCCAACACCTGTCACAACACATGAGGGGGGACCCAACACCTGTCACAACACATAAGAGGGGACCCAACACCTGTCACAACACATGAGAGGGGACCCAACACCTGTCACAACACATGAGAGGGGACCCAACATCTGTCAACACATGAGGGGGGACCCAACACCTGTCACAACACATAATAGGGGACCCAACACCTGTCACAGCACATGAGGGGGGACCGAACACCTGTCACAACACATGAGAGGGGACCCAACACCTGTCACAACACATGAGGGGGGACCCAACACCTGTCACAACACATAATAGGGGACCCAACACCTGTCACAACACATGAAGGGGGACCCAACACCTGCCACAACACATAAGAGGGGACCCAACACATGTCATAACACATAAGGAACCCAACACTCGTCACAATACATAAGAGGAGACCCAACACCTGTCACAACACATGAGAATGGGGACCTACCATCTTCTTCAGAGTAATGGAACAGAGACGAAGTTGAAGGTGTGGTAGATAGGGATGTACTGGAAATATTCTCGTTCCCATAGGTATTTCTACGTGATAGTCGGCAATCAGGTACAGCTAAAAGTTCCCTCTCCCAATCTTCCATCTCCCAGGAACGTCTGGAGACTTCCGTGGATCTCGTTTGACGTATTTTACTGCTACGTCTCCGACGGAGAGTCGTAAAGCTTAGGGCCCTTGTCCTGGAGGCCATGTCTTCCTTCGTAGGCGTCGCGAGGTGAACTGACTTGATGGACGACCTCAACTCCTGGTCGTCATTGTCTTGCAGGAGTCCTGGACAGGTCAGGGAGGTTACGGAAGAAAAGCGAACCAGTGGAGATTCCGGTGACGTAGGTGTGTTGTTGTCGCAGCCTTGAGTCGGCCCCATCAACACAGTGTCCTGATCCACCGCGTCGACACTAGGCACGATGGGAAATATCGGCTGTTTGGGGTCTTCTAAGATGGTAGGACTTCCGGTCTCCACAAAACCGGTAATGCGCACGGGAGACGTAGGCGACGATAGAAGATCGAAATGCATGGAGGTCCGTATAGAGCGTCGCAAGGAGGAGAATGGTCGTGCAAGACTAAGACCAGGTTTTTTGCGTCTCATAAGGGCAGGAGAACCCACACCAGGGACGTGCATGGTGGCTTAATGTCTTACCCTGTACACGGAAGCAGTGTACAGGGCATCACATAGTGACAAAGGACAGTGAGCACTAGGAACACAGAGGATCACCAGCAGTAGGAGCCAGACAGAGCCACAGACTGCCACGGAGATATAGAGTCGACGGGCTCCGTGTCCGGTCACTACCACACAGCAGATAACACAAGCTTCCTGTAGATGCTAGTCCTTCTCTCCTCTCTCTCTCTCCTCTCTCTCACCTCACTTCTTCACTATCTTCCTCCATCTCCACACTATCACCACCCTGTCATTCCCAGTCTCGAAGCTGCTACACTGTTTTCACAAAAGTTACTTCAGAATCCCTCAAATCACACAAAACCCTGAAATATCACCCTTAAATCACTCTCATAACCCTGAAATATCACCCTTAAATCACTTTCATAACCCTGAAATATCAGAGGCAAATAACCATGACTATGCACTCACAAATGGCGACATTTACAAGGCATTTAACTTCTGATATCCGCTCTGGCAAGACAGCTGCTGAATGAATGATGGTGGAAGATTTTCCTTTCTTTTGAGGTCAATCTACCTGTTATCTAAACATCTGGCGGCCGTAACCGAACGGAGGATCGAGCCTCCTCATGGGTTTGGCGCTTTTTCGAATAGTTATAACAATATTACGTACTGCGAGATCCAAGTACAGCGTACGTTAATGTAAGGGAACAACGTCGGTGTTATGTGCGTGATAACACCCATCACAGTGTATCATAACAATCCCCAGTAATAACACCCATTATAGTGGATCATAACAGTCCCCAGTAATAACACCCATTATAGTGGATCATAACAGTCCCCAGTAATAACACCCATTATAGTGGATCATAACAGTCCCCAGTGATAACACCCATTATAGTGGATCATAACAGTCCCCAGTAATAACACCCATTATAGTGGATCATAACAGTCCCCAGTGATAACACCCATTATAGTGTATCATAACAGTCCCCAGTAATAACACCCATTATAGTGTATCATAACAGTCCCCAGTGATAACACCCATTATTGTGTATCATAACAGTCCCCAGTGATAACACCCATTATTGTGTATCATAACAGTCCCCAGTAATAACACCCATTACTGTGTATCATAACAGTCCCCAGTAATAACACCCATTATTGTGGATCATAACAGTCCCCAGTAATGCAAGTCCTCGGTGCACAGTTCTCAACAAAATACAATAACATACATCTAGTATTGTATTTACAAGTTACAAAAGTTCCAGCCAGTTGGCTTAATCTACACCTCGTAGGCCTACCCTCGCCTATGCCTAATGGAATATCTAAGAATTGGACTTTGTCTCCTTCAAGAGGAATTTTGATGGCTGGCTTGATGCTGCTGCTCCCAGCAAAGTCATTTTAAATTCAGAAACCAGTCTCCACAGTAAGATCCATATAACGTAGCCTGGTAATGACAGGTCGGATGCACTGCGTCTGGATGCTAAATATAACGTAGCCTGGTAATGACAGGTCGGATGCACTGCGTCTGGGTGCTAAATATAACGTAGCCTGGTAATGACAGGTCGGATGCACTGCGTCTGGATGCTAAATATAACGTAGCCTGGTAATGACAGGTCGGATGCACTGCGTCTGGATGCTAAATATAACGTAGCCTGGTAATGACAGGTTGGATGCACTGCGTCTGGATGCTAAATATAACGTAGCCTGGTAATAACAGGTCGGATGCACTGCATCTGGATGCTAAATATAACGTAGCCTGGTAATGACAGGTCGGATGCACTGCGTCTGGATGCTAAATATAACGTAGCCTGGTAATAACAGGTCGGATGCACTGCATCTGGATGCTAAATATAACGTAGCCTGGTAATGACAGGTCGGATGCACTGCGTCTGGATGCTAAATATAACGTAGCCTGGTAATAACAGGTCGGATGCACTGCGTCTGGATGCTAAATAAATAAGCGCCTTTATTTCGGCACAGGTTCACATAAGTACAATTATTATATATGTGGATCGATCCCCGGTACGGGTGGAAATATTAAGATGTGTTTCCTTAAGACACCTGCTGTCACTGTTTACCTAGCAGTAAGTAGGTACCTGGGTGTTAATCACCTTATAATTGCTGTCTGTTTATCTAGCAGTAAGTAGGTACCTGGGTGTTAATCACCTTATACCTGCTGTCACTGTTTACCTAGCAGTAAGTAGGTACCTGGGTGTTAGTCACCTTGCACCTGCTGTCACTGTTCACCTAGCAGTAAGTAGGTACCTGGGTGGAAGGTGACTGGTGTAGGTAGCATCCTGGGGACAAAATTAACCTAAGTTGTGGGAAATGCTCTACATAACCAGGAACTTTCTATATAGAATGTCATTGGTGTGAGCTATGGTCTGTATAAGTTGTACCGTGTAGATATATACATTATTATTAAATTACCCAACAGGATAGCCCAAAAAAGATATAATGACCTATTCCCCCCCCCTCACAGTGCTACTGGTGTAGCCATAGCTACCCCAGTAGCACGGCTCGAACCCTGTTCGAACCCTAAATCTGGAAGAACCAGGAGCCCAGTCAGGGTACTCTAGTCTAAAGGGAAATCCCTCTTAGTACTCAATAACCGTTAAGAGAGTCCTAACTGCTTGCTAAGGGCAGTGAGGAGTCCATGTGTACCATAGTGTCGCTCTGGACTAGGAACTCTCTGTTTTTCTCGTCTTCGTTAAATAGCAATACTAACAGTCATGTGGCTGACACCAGTGTCAGGAGGACCTCAGTCACATAAGCTCTGAGTCATGTGGCTGACACCAGTGTCAGGAGGACCTCAATCACACAAGCTGAGTCATGTGGCTGACACCAGTGTCAGGAGGACCTCAGTCACAAGCTGAGTCATGTGGCTGACACCAGCGTCAGCAAGACCTCAATCACATAACCACGAACAGAATCGTCACATGACTGACACCAGTGTCAGGAATCACATGTGCTGACACACCACAACATACTCCTGACCTTCCCTCACTCCCAGATACCTGACGTAACATTTATCAACATCCACATAATTACAAGGAAAGCCAGTGACGTTGTGTAAGGTTAAGACAGATCGTTGTACGAGGGAATGTCAGGGAACCGACCAGGTGTGTAGGCAGGTGCTGGGAGACCAGGTGTGTAGGTAGGTGTTGGGAGACTAGGTGTGTAGGTAGGTGTTGGGAGACCAGGTGTGTAGGCAGGTGCTGGGAGACCAGGTGTGTAGGTAGGTGTTGGGAGACTAGGTGTGTAGGTAGGTGTTGGGAGACTAGGTGTGTAGGCAGGTGCTGGGAGACCAGGTGTGTAGGTAGGTGTTGGGAGACTAGGTGTGTAGGTAGGTGTTGGGAGACTAGGTGTGTAGGCAGGTGCTGGGAGACCAGGTGTGTAGGTAGGTGTTGGGAGACTAGGTGTGCAGGCAGGTGCTGGGAGACCAGGTGTGTAGGCAGGTGCTGGGAGACCAGGTGTGTAGGCAGGTGTTGGGAGACCAGGTGTGTAGGCAGGTGCTGGGAGACCAGGTGTGTAGGTAGGTGTTGGGAGACCAGGTGTGTAGGTAGGTGCTGGGAGACCAGGTGTGTAGGTAGGTGTTGGGAGACTAGGTGTGTAGGCAGGTGTTGGGAGACCAGGTGTGTAGGTAGGTGTTGGGAGACCACGTGTGTAGGCAGGTGTTGGGAGACCAGGTGTGTAGGCAGGTGTTGGGAGACCAGGTGTGTAGGTAGGTGTTGGGAGACCAGATGTGTAGGTAGGTGTTGGGAGACCAGGTGTGTAGGTAGGTGTTGGGAGGCCAGGTGTGTAGGTAGGTGTTGGGAGACCAGGTGTGTAGGTAGGTGTTGGGAGACCAGGTGTGTAGGTAGGTGTTGGGAGACCAGGTGTGTAGGTAGGTGTTGGGAGACCAGGTGTGTAGGTAGGTGTTGGGAGGCCAGGTGTGTAGGTAGGTGTTGGGGGACCAGGTGTGTAGGCAGGTGTTGGGAGACCAGGTGTGTAGGCAGGTGTTGGGAGACCAGGTGTGTAGGTAGGTGGTGGGAGACCAGGTGTGTAGGTAGGTGTTGGAAGACCAGGTGTGTAGGCAGGTGTTGGGAGACCAGGTGTGTAGGTAGGTGTTGGAAGACCAGGTGTGTAGGTAGGTGTTGGAAGACCAGGTGTGTAGGTAGGTGTTGGAAGACCAGGTGTGTAGGTAGGTGTTGGGAGACCAGGTGTGTAGGTAGGTGTTGGAAGACCAGGTGTGTAGGCAGGTGTTGGGAGACCAGGTGTGTAGGTAGGTGTTGGAAGACCAGGTGTGTAGGTAGGTGTTGGAAGACCAGGTGTGTAGGTAGGTGTTGGGAGACCAGGTGTGTAGGCAGGTGTTGGGAGACCAGGTGTGTAGGTAGGTGTTGGGAGACCAGGTGTGTAGGTAGGTGTTGGGAGACCAGGTGTGTATCACTGCTGTTAACCAGTGTGGCTTGTTGAATACTAGTGAAGGCTACAACTGCTGCTACAACTACTACTATTACTACTATTACTACTACAACTACTATTTCTACTACGACTGCCACAACTATTATTACTACTACCGCTACTACAACTACTACTATTACTACTACAACTGCTACTACAAATACTATTACTACTACCACTACTAAAACTACTACTATTACTACTACAACTATTACTACAACTACTATTACTACTACCACTACAACTGCTACTACAACTACTACTATTACTACTACCGCTGCTACAATAACAACTACTACAACTAGTAGCATCTGAGACAACATTTCGCACCGTGCATTTAATCCACAGAGAGCGAAATGCAGTCACAAGAAAAGCTTTCCGTGTATACTATGTATTAAGTTCAGTACACTATGTATACACGCATACATCTGGTCTCCCAGCTCCGGTTGACCCAGGAGCTGTGACTCGACCCTTGCAACCACAAATAGGCGAGTACATGACAACACTGCTGGTGGTCCCACAATGTAACTATCATATAGAATAGTGTAGCAACACTGCTGGTGTTCCCACAATGTAACTATCATATAGAATAGTGTAGCAACACTGCTGGTGTTCCCACAATGTAACTATCATATAGAAAAGTGTAGCAACACTGCTGGTGTTCCCACAATGTAACTATCATATAGAATAGTGTAGCAACACTGCTGGTGTTCCCACAATGTAACTATCATATAGAATAGTTGTAGCAAACACTGCTGGTGTTCCCACAATGTAACTATCATATAGAATAGTGTAGCAACACTGCTGGTGTTCCCACAATGTAACTATCATATAGAATAGTGTAGCAACACTCCTGTGTGTTCCCACAATGTAACTATCATATAGAAAAGTGTAGCAACACTGCTGGTGTTCCCACAATGTAACTATCATATAGAATAGTGTAGCAACACTGCTGGTGTTCCCACAATGTAACTATCATATAGAATAGTGTAGCAGCACTGCTGGTGTTCCCAACAATGTAACTATCATATAGAATAGTGTAGCAACACTGCTGGTGTACCCACAATGTAACTATCATATAGAATAGTGTAGCAACACTGCTGGTGTTCCCACAATGTAACTATCATATAGAATAGTGTAGCAACACTGCTGGTGTTTCCACAATGTAATTATATAGAATAGTGTAGCAACACTGCTGGTGTTCCCACAATGTAACTATCATATAGAATAGTGTAGCAACACTGCTGGTGTTCCCACAATGTAACTATCATATAGAATAGTGTAGCAACATTGCTGGTGTTCCCACAATGTAACTATCATATAGAATAGTGTAGCAACATTGCTGGTGTTCCCACAATGTAACTATCATACAGAATAGTGTAGCAACACTGCTGGTGTTCCCACAATGTAACTATCATATAGAATAGTGTAGCAACACTGCTGGTGTTCCCACAATGTAACTATCATATAGAATAGTGTAGCATCACACTGCTGGTGTTCCCACAATGTAACTATCATTTTAGAATAGTGTAGCAACACTGCTGGTGTTCCCACAATGTAACTATCACATAGAATAGTGTAGCAACACTGCTGGTGTTCCCACAATGTAACTATCATATAGAATAGTGTAGCAACACTGCTGGTGTTCCCACAATGTAACTATCATATAGAATAGTGTAGCAGCACTGCTGGTGTTCCCACAATGTAACTATCATATAGAATAGTGTAGCAACACTGCTGGTGTTCCCACAATGTAACTATCATATAGAATAGTGTAGCAACACTGCTGGTGTTCCCACAATGTAACTATCATATAGAATAGTGTAGCAACACTGCTGGTGTTCCCACAATGTTACTATCATATAGAATAGTGTAGCAACACTGCTGGTGTTCCCACAATGTATCATATAAAATAGTGTAGCAACACACTGCTGGTGTTCCCACAATGTAACTATCATATAGAATCGTGTAGCAACACACTGCTGGTGTTCCCACAATGTAACTATCATATAGAATAGTGTAGCAACACACTGCTGGTGTTCCCACAATGTAACTATCATATAGAATAGTGTAGCAACACACTACTGGTGTTCCCACAATGTTACAATCATATAGAATAGTGTAGCAACACTGCTGGTGTTCCCACAATGTAACTATCATATAGAATAGTGTAGTAACACTGCTGGTGTTCCCACAATGTAAACTATCATATAGAATATGTGTAGCAACACTGCTGGTGTTCCCACAAATGTAACTATCATATAGAATAGTGTAGCAACACTGCTGGTGTTCCCACAATGTAACTATCATATAGAACAGTGTAGCAACACTGCTGGTGTTCCCACAATGTAACTATCATATAGAATAGTGTACAACCATGCTGGTGTTCCCACAATGTAACTATCATATAGAATAGTGTAGCAACACTGCTGGTGTTCCCACAATGTAACTATCATACAGAATAGTGTAGAGAGAGAGAGAGAGAGAGAGAGAGAGGAGAGAGAGATGAGAGAGAGAGAGAGAGAGAGAGAGAGAGAGCGAGAGAGAGAGAGAGAGAAGAGAGAGAGAGAGAGAGGAGAGAGAGAGAGAGAGAGAGAGAGAGGAGAGAGAGAGAGAGAGCGGAGAGAGAGAGAGGGAGAGAGAGAGAGAGAGAGAGAGCGAGAGCGAGGGGGGGGGAGAACTGACAGCCCCAAAACATCAACAAAGAACATGACGCTGACAGACACTGTCACCTTGATCACATCCTGTCTCACACACAACAGTGTGTGTGTGTGTTGTGTGTGTGTGTGTGTGTGTGTGTGTGTGTGTGTGTTGTG